TTTCTCCCTCTCAGCTGTCTCTCTCTCACCTGTCTCTCTCTCACCTGTCTCTCTCTCACCTGTCTCTCTCTCACCTGTCTCCCTCTCACCTGTCTCCCTCTCACCTATATATCTCTCACCTGTCTCCCTCTCACCTGTCTCCCTCTCACCTATATATCTCTCACCTGTCTCTCTCTCACCTGTCTCTCTCTCACCTGTCTCCCTCTCACCTGTCTCTCTCTCATCTGTCTCTCTCACCTGTCTCCCTCTCCCTGTCTCTCTCACGTGTCTCCCTCTCACCTGTCTCCCTCTCACCTGTCTCCCTCTCACCTGTCTCCCTCTCACCTGTCTCTCTCTCACCTGTCTCCCTCTCACCTGTCTCCCTCTCACCTATATATCTCTCACATGTCTCCCTCTCACCTGTCTCCCTCTCACCTGTCTCCCTCTCACCTGTCTCCCTCTCAACCTGTCTCTCACCTGTCCCCCCTCTCACCTGTCTCCCTCTCACCTATATATCTCTCACCTGTCTCTCTCTCACCTGTCTCTCTCTCACCTGTCCCTCTCTCACCTGTCCCTCTCTCACCTGTCTCCCACTCACCCGTACAATAGAGAAATCAAAAGACTAGAAATAAACAAAATGGAAGCATCTCAAATAGAACGTTGTGAAGCAGCTTGAGATGACGTTGTTTTTAAAGTGTGATATATCGATGAAATGTATTAAATACATAAATATCTACAGTAGACATGATTACAGATCCTGCACTGGGTCGAACCATTGAAGATAAGATTAGAGGGACCTTTATTGACCCCCGGAGGGAATATAAGGAGTTATAGCAGCAACACATTGGTATACCCTGCAGTCCAGATACACAGCTGATAACCCTGCAGATACACACATATCTCCAGATCACATGATTACAGATCCTCCACTGGGTCGAACCATTTGAAGATTGGAGGGACCGTTATTGATCTCTGTGGGGAAGTGCAGGTGTTATAACAGATAACAGAGCTGCTCAGAATAAACGATATCAGAATCAGAAAAATGATCAGGTTTATCTCCAGCTAGGTCGACACGGACGAGGAGTTTGACTTGATGTCGTGGTGCAAACAAACATCAAAAACAAAGATTGAAAACTATTTGAAGAAAACTGTAATAACATTAAAAATATATATAAAAATATAAAGTGACATTTAGCAGAATTGACATTGAAATAGAATGAAATAAAATATGTGCAGAAACAAAAGAAACTGATATCGTACATTGTGTGCATTAATGTAATGTTACTTATACATAGACTCTTCTTGCACGATGTTATCTGGTTCATTGTGTTTCTCTGTGGGAGGAGCCTAAGATTTGAATTGACATGTCCTCGCTGTAGCTCTGCTCACATGTCAATAAAACCCTTGAAACTTGAATCTTGCATCTACCCTGCAGTCCAGATGGTCAGGTATAATATATATATATGATATATACTCGGGGGGGGGTCACCAGGCTCCCCACGATACGATACCATCACGACATATGCTAAGTATTGTGATACGATATATTGAAGTTAACTTGTTTAATGGTATGCTAAAGTAATGCTAATATGGATGTAGCTTAAATGTATTTTGTGTCTTTGTGTCTTTGTGTCTTTGCGTCTTTGTGTCTTTGTGTCTTTGTGTCTTTGTATCTTTGTGTCTTTGTGTCTTTGTATCTTTGCGTAGCTCTTACGTTGGTTTTTGGAGTTTTCAATACATTAGAAATCATCAGTCAAGCGTACGACCAACTTTCGGAGGGATACGCAACAGTTTATGTAATAAAATATCGATACTTGGCGTCTGTGTATTGATACAGTATCGCCACGCAAAGGATCGCGACACAATGCTGTATTGATTATGTCCCCCACCCCTAATATATATATATATCCCCCCCCCAGATGGCGGTGCTACTCAGACCCTACCTGCTCCTCCTGGCCGCTCTGGTTCTGGTTCTGGTATGTTTCGGGACGCTGGCCGACGCTTACCCCCCGAAACCTGAGAACCCCGGAGAGGACGCTGCCCCCGAGGAGCTGGCCAAGTACTACACGGCCCTGAGGCACTACATCAACCTGATCACCAGGCAGAGGTACAAGTACACACTCACTGTACTCTTAACTAAGTACTACACGGCCCTGAGGCACTACATCAACCTGATCACCAGGCAGAGGTACAAGTACACACTCACTGTACTCCTAACCTAGTACTCTTACTGTACTCCTAACAAGTACTCTTACTCATACTCTTCACCAAGTACTCTTACTGCACTACAGCACCAGTTTGAGGTACTTTGAGGTGTCACTTTATACGTATACTTCACATAAATTTGGAAGCAAATATCAAACTTTTGATTGGACTAAACCGCGCTCAGGTAGCCGCTGATACCTGAGAGAGTGTCCTTCAGACCCCCCCCCCAGCCTCTCAGCTGATCTGATTACCCTGTCTCTCCTCCAGGCCTCACATCAATCACCTCCGTCTGAACAAAGACCCCAAACCCAGTTACTGAGGGTCTGCTGGTATTAAACATGGTTTCATCTGAAGGAGAGCCAGCTGCTCCGGTTCATGAAAACCAAATAGCTGTTTGATATTTAGATCCTGGGTTTAGAGGAGCCTCGTGAAGCCAGGAGGACTCAATCAGTTCAGGGGAGGGGGGGGGTTATCAGATGAGGGGCTGAGGCTGAATGAAAGGACTCAGAGCAGGAATATAAAGTGCAGAGCATTAAGCGTTCAGGACAGGGGGAAGTATACGCTGTATTCTCATGGAAAGCTCCAGGTTTGAATGTAAATATTTGAACTTTTTCTCTTATTTTAAAACCATGATGTCAACAACTCTGACTCCAGCACACTTTAAAGAGCTCCACCCTTTACTAAGAACCTCTTCAGGACTCATTCAAATTCTCAAATCCGCAGACTCAATGGAGACATATCCTTTGTCTTGTTCTACGCTCGACTTGCTTCTCTTTCTGTGTCTCTGCCATGTTCGGGAAGAAGACTCCCAGGAACTGAAATACGTCGTGAAACGTCTGGTTTCACAAAATATATTTGAGGACATTTGATCCGGTTTCTTGTCCTCGGACTTTTCTTTTTTCTTTTTTTTTTTTTCTCACCCG